TTTCTTCCATCATCATTTCATAGAATTCTTGCCTTCTATCAGGATCATCTTCATTTAACTCCTGAACCAACTGAACTCTGTAAGGGTGGTATTTTTCTTTATGTAAAACTCTCAAAATGGATGATTTACTCATCCATCATGATCATTGATGGCGGCAAGTTCTCGAGTTGTCTTATGCGGATTTTCCTCAATCTCTAGAAGTACATCTAACTTTTTTTCATCAATAAATTTATTATTTCTACCTGGTTTTTCAATATTTCTTACATGTCCAGTATAACGAAAGTTCTTTGCAATTGTGCTAACTGTAGACTACGAAACTTGTTGACCAGGTTATTCATTATTAACATTTCACAAACCTCCTTTTAAGCTATTGTTTTATTACCACAATAAATCATAGTTAAAATGTCTATTCTTTTAGTCTCGCACAAATGAGCCATAATTAAATTTAATACGCGCACAAATATTAAACTCACGTCTTCTAGTAACCTTAAATACCAAAATGACAGCAGCCTACTAGATTCATATGGATTGTTTATTTGGCTTTTTGACTATTTTATTATCTTTAAAGTTTTTCCCTAATGTTTAGCAGAACAGATACGAAAATACCTGATTTTCTCTAAAGTATATTTTAATAGACCAGGCAATATTGCTGACATAAAACTTAGGATAACGGAAGAAATTAACAAAATAACCCCCGAGGTCATACAAAATGCTGTATGAGAATTCCAAATTCGAAAGAAAATGCAAAAAAGTATTTTTGAAGTGTGTATATTTTAGGCAATTAGACAGAATAGCTATTCTAGCTATTCTGTCTACGTCCTCACATCAATCAATGGTCGGGTTTCTTACACCCGTACCATGACAAAAATTTTTTCAATTTTTTAACGTGTTTGTGAAGTCCAGTGTCGGCTTTTTATATCTTTTTTATATTTTTAAGAATTTCAACACCAACAAAATCATAATTTTGAAATTTAAGGAAATGAGATCTCTCCTTTGTAGTGGTATTTAAAAATTGACCATAGCTCTGATGATGGCTTTGTAAAGCCGAAAGCGCTCAGCTAGGAATTGCCTAAAATATACACACTTCAAAAATACTTTTTTGCATTTTCTTTCGACTTGTCATAAGTGTGTACAAAAAAAATATCAGTCTTTTGATTGTTAATTCCAAAATCGCCTCAGTTATTGTCAAGAAGTGAATAATAGTGGTCAAGTTGAACATTTAACTTAATATTGTAAAAAATAATTTTGTAAGTTATAATTGCACAAACTCAAAAAACTTTACATTGATGAACAGAGGACTAAAATCCCTTTCTAACAAGGTGCTACACGACCCCCTTTGCTATTTAGAATTTTCGAGGGGGTGCTTATAATTCAAAGAGGGTGCTGGAGGGGGATATTATTTTCATACTGTAAATTGTCGATTTAAGAATAAAAATCGACCTGTTTCAGGTTTTTTTCACATAGTACATAATAACGCTAAAAATGAATTTATTCCATACATATGGACCACATGGTAGAAATTATTACAATTGTTTATAAGTAAAAAACATACCCATTTTCCAAACGTTTAGTTTGTAAGTAATTTCGATGAAAACGCAATATGCATTTAACTTCTGAGATAGTTGTCTGAAAGAATCATATGAAATTTGCTATAGTGTATTTTTATGTATGAGAGAGTAACAAAACGATAAATGATGTATGTAAATCCCTAAACTGTTGATACGGGCGACTCAATGAAAAACAGATATTTGTCAACAAGTTTACATAAGTATATAGGAAAATAATTTTAAATTGAGTATGACCACCAGGTATAAAGGTTGGAGCAGAATAGAATACAATAGTTGTGAGGGTTACTAATCCCTAAATAAGGTTGCCAGTGTCGGAGTGATGGAGGTTAACAGGTACTAATGAATTTGCAAGAAATGTAAGATGTTATTTTATTGGTTATATATAACAAATAAAAGTTTAATAAGTACCTACCTATTTGCAAAATAAAGTTTAATTCTTTAGATAAAATAAAACGTTTTATTTTATCTGAAATGAGTGCATTCCACGAAGTAAGGGTTTCAACAATCAAACATTTAATTCTTTAATTCCAGGAATCTACGACAGTAATTGACTAGATAATTACCTTCTAAACTTATTCCACAGAAAATGTGATAGTGGGTTTTTCCATTTTGTAGGAAGGTCCAAGTGGCGTATTCAAAATTCTTAACAGTTCACTAAAAGTAGGTACTTCAGTTGCAAGGTGCAGTTTATTGTGTATACTAGTGTTATGGAAAATTTGGAAGTGCCGTGTAAACGCCGAAAAATTGGTCCTTTAACAGTTAATGAAAAAACATTAATATTTAATTGTTTTAAATCATTTACAGACAAACGTTTATGTGAAAGTGTTGATGAGACCGTTGAGTTAGTTAGCAGTACACTTGATGTTGGGAAATCCACGATTTACAGAGTTATTAAAGAAGAGAAATGTGGTAGTTTTCAAATGCCACGTAATGCTCCAGGGAAACCAAAATTTCAAATAGAATATCATTTTAAAGAAGGACTTCGACGGAAAGTGCATGAATTCTTCTTTAGACAAGAATTTCCAACATTGGATAAAGCTCTTGTCTCAGTTCGAGATGATAAGGATTACCCAGAAAGGAGTCGAAGTACGTTATGGAAACTTTTAAAAGAAATAGGCTTCCGCTGGAAAAAGAATCCCAAAAAGTCTATTTTATTAGAAAGAAGCGATATTGTCATATGGAGAAGACATTTTCTAAGAACCATAAAGGAAATGAGAAACCAAAAAAGAAAAATATTTTATCTTGATGAAACATGGATCAACGAGGGTCATACATTAAATAAATTTTGGCAGGATGAAACTGTTACAAGTCAAAGGCACGCTTTTGTAAATAACTTATCTACTGGTTTAAACCCACCATCAGGAAAGGGACGCAGGCTGATAATAGTACACATTGGCAGTTCAGACGGTTTTGTTGAAGGTGGTTTATTAACTTTTGAATCAACTCGTACCGGTGACTACCATGAAGACATGAACGCTGATGTCTTTCAAGAATGGTTCCAACAAATGATAGATCTTCTTCCTAAGAACTGTGTAATAGTAATGGATAATGCAAGTTATCACTCCAGACTTATAGAAGGACTGCCCACAACCAAGTGGTTAAAAAAAGACTTGCAGAATTGGCTGAGTTCAAAAAATATTACGTACCATCCCGGATCTATAAGAAAGGAACTTTATTCGTTGTGTGCCCTTCATAAAGAAAAATTTAAAAAATACGAAATTGATGAAATTGTCAAAAATCGTGGAATGACAGTACTTAGATCCCCACCATATCATTGTGAATTAAACCCGATTGAACTGGTATGGCCACAGATAAAGAGTGAAGTTTCAAGAAAAAATACCACTTTTAAAATTCATGATGTTAAACAGTTGTTTTTGGAGGCCGTAAATAATGTAAAACCTGAAAACTGGGAAAAGGCAGTAAATCACACTATTAAAGAAGAGGAAAAAATGTGGAAGCTGGACAATATTACTGATAAAATGATCGAGCCAGTTATTATAAATCTTGGTTCTGAAAGTTCATCTTCTGAATCTAATTTGGATTTGTAACAAGTAGCTGTAAGTTTTATATTAATATTTTTATTCATCTATTTAACATACCTTAGAAGGTTTTAAAAACTCTTTTTCTCTTTTGTAATTTTTAAAAATTAAAAAAAAATGTGAATTTTTTAAAACCCTTTTTAATGTAGGTCAGTCAGTTCTAATATAGTGTGTGATAAAAGAGGTCACTTTTGTTTACATACACATAACACTTTATAACACTGAAATAATTCATTTATTTTTTACAATTATTCAAAGTAATTTTTCAATTAATCTTGAGCCCGCCCATGGAGTGGTCGGAGGTACCAGTTAAAATTATGCTAATTACTCTCTCGTTCATAAAAATAAACTATAAAAGTGTCTAGCATCATTAATAGAGCAAGTTCAATAGTTTAAATATTTAGCCTCAGGTATAAATAAATTAAATAACTTTTAAGCTGTTTGACCGATCGGGGGGAAATTTCGCACAAATTTAAAAGACGCTAATTCCTCGATGTTCAAATGTATTAACAACATTTTATTTTGTTAATAAAAAAATTAATAAAATTTATAAATTGGTGCAAAAAAACTGTTTTTTTTTTGCAAATGTCTCCATAAATTATTTATCAATTTTAATTTAAAAAACGGGAAAATAAAGATATTCTTGATATAAAAAATGATATAAATATTGTTTATGTAAAATATAAGGGAAAAAACTTATATACACAAAATCAAATTGTGACCATAAATTATTGTTAAAAAAAACGCAAGGTAAAAATACGAGTACTTTTTCATCTATTCGTCATCTAGTAACCCCCACCTATGTCTTAAAAGCTTCAGATTTCTGCGAAAATTGTTTCGCCATTTTTTTAAACAGACTGGGCTAAAAGGCGAATGTTACGAAACTCCATCAATCTTATTTCGATAGTTGCCGTTTCCTTTTCTATTTTTTTAACTTCCTTGTAACCTTCGCAAAATCATAGGAATTATATTTTTACATTAAACAAACATAGTTTGAGTTAAATAGAGAAGAAATATAATTTTAATTTTAAACAAGTGCAGACATTTATATTGTTTTTTTTATAGAATAACGCTGTTTTGTGATAATACTACTCACATGCTATTCAGTTCTACGTAGTACAACTCGGTAAAGTCTTAAAACAATGTCCAGCTTATATTGTGTATGTTTTAAAATTAACATTATTTTTAAACCTTTCAAAGACCAGATCATCCTGGTAACACTTAGTAAACTATGCGGAACGTCTTCTTTAATTCAGTCAAATATAAATTAATTATTTCTGGTAAATAAACAAAAAACTTATAAAAGAAATAGTGTAGTAATTAAGCAGGTACACTTTCCCGTTGTTGTGGATCTGTTGTTTTGATAACATGTGTAATTTTCGTATTGTTTCAGATCGCAGGTTTGGGTAAAGGTCCTCTTGCAGGTCTAGCTGCATTAGGATTGGGTGGATTAGCCCCTGGGGGTGCAGGAGGATTGAATCCAGCAGGTATTACTCTTAAATAATAACTCCACTGAACGTTCGTTTTATTATAACATTTTATCACACTTTTAAAGGACGATAAGCTTGTCCTGAAAAATTATCTACTTTTTTGTTAAATTAAACAATTCTTAAAAGCAAATTAATATGCATTTCCCATTTTTTCGTAATGTTAATTAAACATTTATTTCAAGCTCTGGCTGCTTTGGCAGGCTCGCAGTTAAGAACCGCAAATTCCAGAAACCAGCAGAACTCAAACCAACAGACTCACGAAATGACCGTTCCAAATGAATTGATCGGTTGCATTATCGGTAAAGGAGGCACCAAAATTGCAGAAATAAGACAGATTTCCGGAGCCATGATCCGTATATCAAATTGCGACGACAGAGAAACCGGAACATCGGATCGTACGATTACAATCACTGGAAATCCTGACGCAGTAGCCTTGGCGCAGTATCTCATCAATATGAGGTATGTAACATTTTTTATATTTTAGTTTTTTCCACTTTTCCTGCGATTCTCTGTACTCTCTAAGGGAGTAAATGATAGATATAGAATTGCCGTCGATCGAGGACAATAGAGAGTCATTTGATGTGTTCTTGGCATTTCATTTTAAATGCTCTTGATCCGTACTCTATCCTATGTAACCGCAGTGATCAATGATCTCCTCTTGTTTCCCAATAACACATCAATTGATCCAATGAGATCCTTTCTAACTCTTTTGACTTCTTAAAAATTTACATATGGAGATATATTCTTTCTTATAAAATGAGCATTTTGTATTAAATCAGAAATACTTTTTATGCCTTAACTGTTTTTCGAAAATAGCATATAAATTATTGTGGCGTTTCTACTTCGGAATGTCTTCTGAACAAGTAGAAGAAAAGTATAAACCTTATTTAAAGTGTATTCTTTTGCAATTGGCAATATATACCTATGGTGAATTAAGATAAGTTTAGAAAAATCTCGGGGTATAACCACGTTTCTTTGTTTATGATTCTGTATATTAACTTTGCATAATTTTTACTATTTACAATTATTTATCTTTCGTGGAAATTTATACAGAAGTAGCTTGTGGGTTGTAGTGAGTCGGACCTTGAATTTTGTACAAATGCCTCGTGATGGTTGTTTATAACTAGAATTTGAATAAGCTCTACCTAAAAACGGAAAATTCAGAAAAAAATTTAGAACGAAAAATTGATGTTAAATGCAATAAATTTTTAATCTTTTACCCTGAATATCTAGGAAATTATCACCTACGGCAAAACTGGTTTAAAGTAAAGTTATTGGCAATTATATATGTTTTTTTAAATTTTTCATTTTACAATTAAAAAAATTCTCTCGTAGACATGAAAATTGGCGAAAAACATAAAATTTTGGAAATTTGTTTGAGGGAAATCGTAAAGTTTCTGAAAATTGTATATGAAAAATTTGAAGTTATCTTAATTTTTATGAAAAACAACGGCTCAAAGAAAACCTAACCCGCTACATTTTTTCTGCTTTTGCACACTAGTTCAATCTAGCTCTCTCCCGAAAATTTGAAAGTTTTAAAAAAACTTTGTGTTTGGAAAATTCTTCGTTATATAAGTCACATATTCTTTTACGTATAGAAAAGCAAAAATTTTTCAAATTCATTTTAAAAAAATTAAATCAGTTAATTAGAGTCTGGGATATTTTTTAAACGGGGTATATAAATCTTTATTAAAATTTATTTTTACCATCAAAATACTCATAATTTAATGGTTAAAATTATTTTGTGTCAACACTGATAAAAATATTTAAAATTACTAAAAAATTTTTAAGATCATTAAACTTAGCCTATAAATATAAGTGAAAATAAAATGTTTGGTTGTTTCATTTAGAAAAATTAGAAACAATCAATTAGCTATGTACCCACTGTTTTTTAATGTAAATTCCTTAATTATAAAGTATTTCAAAATTGTTAAACTAGTTATCTAAATGTGTTGTAGTTTTTGTACCCATTAATTTTTTAAACAATTTTTACCAATTTAAATCATTTATATCAATGTTTATACAAAAATATTATATTAAGCGATACTTAAATATTTTTACAAACACATTTGAATAAAGAAAAATTTATTAACAAAAAGAGAAATCAACGATTTCTACCTGGCGAAATCGAATTCAAATCTTGACCACTGTGCTTTCTAAAACTTGCAAAGCAAACAGCTTGATAAATTACTCGGCAAGGGAATTATAAGATTGCATTCCACATGCCGTTCATCATGGTCAAAATTCGTAGTGAATTCAATTTCTGGTACTCCAAACGGAGTAAAGAAATAAAATATAAACACGGTACTAGATTTTTGTTTCAATACAGAGTGGTGCAGCGACAAGCCGCTTATACGTATTTCGACCTCTTTAGGTCTCTTCAGAGCGGTATAGCCACCTCTCTGAATCGAAACAAAATCTATTCCCTAATTTATAACTATGGTCTTAGACAATAGTTATAAAATAACTATATACGGACGTAACTACGCCATCTAGATGGCGTAGATGGCAAAAGCTTCTCGGTCTTCTGCAATATGGAATAATTGTCCTGCATTTGAGTCCATTCACGAATGTTTTTAACCAAGAAACTTGTTTTCTTCCTACACCTCTACGGCCCTCTATTTTGCCTTTAAGGATCAGTTGTAATATTTTATATCGACTTCCCTTTACTACATGTCCCAGATAAGACATTTTTCGAGGTTTAACAGTCTTTACCAATTCTCTATCTTTGTTGACGCTCCTTAGTACATCTTCATCAGTTTTCCTTGCTGTCCAAGGTATCTTCAGTATTCGTCTATGAACCCACATTTCCAATGCTTCAATTTTGTTCACGATCGATAGTTTTAGCGTCCACACTTCTGCACTATACAAAAGTACGGACCAAACATAGCACTTAACGATTCTTCGTCTTAGTTCTAAACTGAGATGATTATTGCAAAGAAATGACTTCATTTTCATAAAAGTAGTTTTAGTCATTGCTATTGTACGTTTTATTTCTATGTCTGCATCTAGTTGGTTCGGTATCACAGTTCCCAAATAAATCATTCTGTGAACTTTCTCAACTTGGACTCCGTTTAATTGAAACTATGCATCGGGATGTAGGTCACGACTAAACACTAAAAATTTGGTTTTCTTTGAGTTTATTTTAATGCCCATTTCCTCTCCTACCTCGTGAAAACGATCAAGCAGATTTTGGAAACCTTCAATATTATATGACATAATTACTGTATCGTCTGCATATCTAATTACATTAAGTCGTTCCCCGTTGATTTTTATTCCATATGGTTGTCTTTCAAGTGCCTTTTTATAACTGCTCCGAGTAAAAAATGTGACCTTATCTGACTCCTCGTTGTATGGAGATTTCATCGGTTTAGTTATCTCCAATTTTTAAGATAGATGTTTGGTTCCAGAACAAATTTTTAATGATACGAATATCCTTGTCATCTATTCCGATATTTTTCAGTAATCTTCGAGATCTTCTTAGCATTTGCGTCTAATTCTGTTGTGAAGTATTCTGAGAAAACTTTTAAGAGTGTGGCTCATTAGCTCATTTCGATTTCCGAAGTGGAAATCAATAAACGTACTTTAACTTTTAATTGTGGCTTATTCCCATTTAAATAGTAATAATTATAATATATAAAGTTTCTGTAAGATGTCTTGGATTTGATCATACAACTTCTCGACTTCATCGTCATATTTTCTAGCTGCAGTCGGCATAGATTTGAAGTTGAAGTATATTAGTTTTAAATGGTTGAGTATTTATTTGGAGTAATATAATTCTATACGAGACTGGTACCAAATTGGTCACATATTTACTCAGTTCTGATGTTACTAACATACCTACACCATTTTTGTGATGCGGGTCTTCTGTGCCGTTACCGGAATAATATAATACACTTCCGTCCTTTTTACATGTATTATGACTATGTATTGTCTTTCTGAGTCTATGACAGAGTGTTGCATTATTTACGTTCCTGGTTTATCGTAGAATTTTGAGTTTGTTATTTGGGTGGGCTCGTTGAAAAATAATAACAGTACATGCATGCCTTTCAAATGAAAGCAATATTATCATTGATGACATTTTGATCATCCTTGTTTGATTTTGGAAGAATTTATATTTATACTGAGGTTTGTGTGCTGTCAATTGCAAATATAAAAATTATGACGAGTTTAAGGGTTTATTTATACAAATGACACGGCAAGAACAATGTATTGACACATTGCAGATTTAATATGAAGTGCTCTTCCAATACATAAATGCCTTTAGATATTTACACATATGTAAATTTTTTAGAACTTAATTCCCCCTGCAGTCCGGTGCCAATAGTAGCCTGAACAACCAATTACGTATTTGTAGCCTTTTGTTTTTTATTTTTAATATGGGTAAATGAAGAAAAAATATGTTGTTCATCATACATCATACATATACTCAAAACGTTTTCTTTTTAGTTTTTTAATTCTGTATTTTTATTACGAATTTTGATGTTCAGCTAGTAAAATCAGATAAGAAATATATGCTCAAACGTACTCAAACTGTGGTACGGTGCTTTGCGTACCACTGATGGCCGACGGGCGCCACTGAGTAAACAGCTATAATCGTCGGCTGGCCTTATCAGTGTAGAAAAGTAAGTGATACGCCAATTTCAAATCTCAGTGTGCTTTGACTGCTAAAACAGCCTTAACGGAACGTATAATACGACCCATCATTATACAATAGTACGGTACAATCTCAATTTATTTTTTCAGGAGCCAGAGTTCAGAATTTTATTGATGCAGTAGTATACAGGGTATTCCAAGATATTTTTAACAGCCTATAATTCAGGAAGTAATACATATTCGTATTTGAAAATTGTGAAATGTCAATTGGACCTAACATATTACCAATTAATACATGAGATTTGTGACATCATCGCGGGCGATGTGAAGTTATTACAATGGAAAATATTCAATGGATCATTCAAATATTCAAAGAAGGTGAAGATTAGATCAAACGAAAGCCTTTTTTATTTCAAATTCAACGATGTACCACAATAAGGGTGTTAATGTTAAACTGTTAATAAATGTACTAAATTTTAAATTTAATGACGCATTTCAACTATTTCGACGCGGTTCAACTATTTAACAAATGCTTAAAAGGACAAAATATCCCTGATAATTGGAATGTTGGATGTTGGATACATGAGCTCAATATTCAAAAAAGGGAATAAACGCAAATGCCCTAATTATAGGGGAATAACTGTTATCAGCTCAGTGGGGAGGTTGTACGTGCGAATAATAAAAGACAGAATAGAATCAGAATACGAAGACAGAATAGAATTAGAATACGAAGACAGAAGAACAAAATGGATTTCGTGCAGGAAGATCGTGAACTGATGGTATATTCATTCTGCAGCAGGTAATCGAAATACGGAAGTCAAGGAATCTATCTATCCACCTGTTGTTTGTAGATTTAGAGTACGCATTTGAAAAAACGGTACCTTTGAAAAAACTGTTTCAAACATTGCCCAGAGTAGGTTAGGTTAAAGTAGGTCTCAGTAAAGAGTATGTGGATGCTATTGCAACTATCTGCAAAAATGTAAGAAGTGTCGTTAAAGAAGGACAGGGAGGACAGAAGGGCAAGAACAGGAATGTTGTTTATCTCCGACCTTATTTAAAACATATTAACGAAAACAGAACGCAGCAGCGATACAACAGAACGCGATAAACATTCTAAACTCTCTACTATGGTCTAGATATTAGACAAGAAAGGAAATTGATAATCTATCGAACCTTGGTAGAGCCTATTATGACTTATGGGGCAGAAGTTTGGCAGATTACGAATAAAGATAGAAAAAGAATAGAAGTAGTAGGAGAGCGTGTGGTGTATCAAAAAAGATCATATCAGGAATGGAGATATTAAGAAGGACAAATACTGTATATTGCAGTGTAGACAGAATTGAAACGAGACAACTAGTGTGATATGGTCAGGCGAAGCGAATGAATAAAGATATATGGTCAAAGAAAGCTGGAAGAAAATGTACGGCACATAATAAGAGATGAGTCATAAAAGAAGACGAATGGATGGACAGAAAACGATGGCGGTCGATATCCGAGAAGCGGCAGAAGCTATAGGAACTATAGGGCCAAAAGATACTTAAGAATGCATAGATATGTTGTGTATTTATGGTGAATGTAGGAAAAATGTTCGATATATTCAAGCTTTATACACGGAACGCTTTCCTGAAAGAATAACATATCTTGTATAATCTTCTGTAATTGTGATATGTAACTTTTGCTATGATTGAGAAGATGCGGCAAGGTTTATTTTCAAGAGTAAACATAAACATGATGTCAAACCAATACAGACCGAACAAAACTTAATCAATGTTTTAGCATATGGTAGCAACTAATCCACATATGTCCATAACGTTCATTGCTGCAGAATCTGGAGTGTCTTCAATTACAGTGCAAAGTATTTTAAAAAATGACCATTACCATCCATGTATATTTTGTTTGGTTCGTGAATTGCAACCCACTGATTTGGATCGAAAACTTACCATCGGTGATGTAAGACACTCTTGAGTTCTTAACTGCAATTTTGTGGAGTGATGAAGCTCGTTTTCATAATAATGGGATTGTAAATCGTCATAACTTCCATTATTAGTCAGTAAAAAATTCGCACTGCTTAAGTGAAACTCGCTTTCAAACTAGACAGGTAATGAATGTTTGGTGTGGGTTATTTAACGGGCGTTTAATATACGCATATTTATTTGAAGAATATTTAAATGGTCAGAGGTATCTGAATTTTCTAAAAAATTAGCTACCTCTATTACTGGAGAATATGATTGGTGCACCCCCACATAAAAGTGGTATTGTAGTCAATTACCTTATTGCTACATTTTCAAACAGATGGATTGGAACTAACAGACCCGTCCGATGGGTTCCAATCTCCTGTACTATCACCCTTTGACGCTTGTGTTGAAGCAGAGTGTCATTTAGAACACTTCCCGTAAAATTATTTTATATTTTGAATGTTACTGATTATTGTTGAAAATAAACGTTTCATTAAAAATTTAGCGTAATTATTTAAATTAATACTCTCATTGTGATCTACCTTTAAATTTGGGATAAAAACCCTTTTTCTGGCCTAATTCTCACCCCTGATCCATTTAATTTTCTCCATTGTAATGACGTCACGGCACCAGTGATGACGTCACATATTTAATATACACATCAATTTGATATTATTATAGGTATAATTGACACTTCTCAGTTTTCAAATAAAATTATTTATTACTTCCTGAATTATAGGCTGTTAAAAACATCTTGAAACACCCTATATATGTATAATCATTTGTAATATTATATTGCGAAAATCTCGTCCAAATATGTCTAGTTCCCTGGATATAAAAAAATTATTGTCGTTAACGCAAAAAATAAATCAATTTTATGTGGAAATTAATGCCAAAGGACGTGTTTACATTTTGAAATCCACCAGTGTACAATACATTCTGCGAAACTTGAAACCAAATTTGTATAGAAAAATGCCTCGAAAACAACGCTTGTTATCAAGATTACCAGGTAGAATTTGTTTAACAGTAAATGGTTGACTTCAATTAGTATCGACTAGAAACATCCTGGGTTAACCGATACTAATATAAAAGGTCCGGTTTCAGGTAACAATGGTTTACCTGAGGTAAAAGGTCTTAACAATGGGCCAAGTTAGATAAATTTAATAATATTTTGGACCGTACTAATTGAAGTCGAATCATTTTCTGCTAGACAAATTTTACTTACTTATCAGACATATTCAGGTGTCTATAAGTTCGAACTTACAGATTAGCCTAATATATATTCTATTCTTTCTGTCGTAGTGGCTTATAAAGACGTCTCTTTCGATAGTCTTAAATGAAAAGAAAGTCATTTATTATTTTCTGTACTTTTGGAATCATGTACTCTCTTGAAAAATAAACGTTAAAAAAGTTTCTTTTACTTAAGATTTAGGTACAGTTTAGGTCTCGGAAACATTTCCCCTTCCTGGATTTACAGTAGTCAATGATATCGCTTTTTTCCATTCGACACAAATTAACAAAAAAACAATCACAAATATTTGTTGTTTTCTTTTTATATTTGTGATTTACTTTATTTTTTTTTTTATTTATACAAATTTTTCTTCATTTACCCAACAACATATCGAGTTCATATGCATATTGTATTTATTTTTGAGTTATATTATTTAGGAACTTATTTGAATTTTAATATAGAAATCGAATTCAGTCCTACATTTCACCAAACTAGTATGAGAAGGATAATTAATATACTAACAAGCAAGAGAGAAAGAAATTGTACGTGGAACTTTCAAATTTTGACGGTTAATAGCGGATATGTTATTCAAGAAAATCTGTTAAAATGGGCTTAAAGGCATGATCATCTCACTTGCATCAAATTCAGCCTGAGGTAAGCGCCAGAATCACGGAAAGTTGGATATTTACGCGCATCACTCTTAGTTTTAACTAAGTAAAATTTCCGAGGAAATAGTACATTTAATGGAATCAAAAAGATCAGACTTTGCCATAAAGTATCACTAACAAACTTAAGGTCATTTGACTGGAAAAAACAGACCTGTACCACTAAGAAAGCGTTCCAAAAATTGGATAGTTAACTGCAAGCTACGTATGTGAGATAAATTAAAAGAAAATTTGAAGAAACGCACTTAATAAGAGATTGGTATTATTTATTTTTATATATAATTTTAGTTTTAATCAGGCTACAAATACAACCCCTCTTGTATTCCGACTAAACTTATTCCTATCAAATCATCACTTAACAATAACAATCCCTCTTGTGTTTCCTAGCGTCGAGTTGCAGAAAGCTAACCTTGAGGCCCAAAACTCTCCCAGTACCGGCCAGCCCTCTAACACAAACACCACTAGTACCACCAATGCCGCCTCTACCCTGACTAGTGCCATCCCCATTGCGCAGCTGTTAGCCAAGCCTGGCGCCCTCAATGCGTTAACTAGTCTTACCGCGTTGGGGGGGCTTACGGAGCTACTCAGCGGCCAAGGGGGCGGTCCTCCCTCCATCCAGACTACCGGTGTCCACCGTGCCCACAAGAGCTATACGCCCCGCATGCGTTCTCCCGGTGGTGGAAATGAAGGAAGCAGAATCAAGAATGAAAGAAGCAAGTTTAATCCGTATTAGGTGGCATATTTTAGTATTTACGTTTTGACTTTTCTAAATATTAGGTGTAACTTATCACTGATTTTATACAGAATTTTTTAATTTAGTGTTAAAGGTTAAGTCTTGTTTCATTGATATGAGGCGATTATTTTTTAGCACATATGTCATTCTTATTTACACTTATTCATATCCTGCTCTCCTTATACACTTATACCTCTTTTTTTTTCTAAAACCGTACCAAAGTAAGTATACCAAACGTGATCTTACAGAGAGTATTACGTTCGTCACTCTAGTTTCCTTTTTCACCTTGATGTCCTTGTATCTACTTTTTATTCAAAAACTTTATATTTATGTTTTTTATGCTCTCTATAATTTCGCTTATTGTATAATGTGTAAATAATGATAAAATAATAATCGTTTCATAACTCGAGTTTAAGATGCTATAGCGTTAGATCTGAGAAATTGTAGGGACCAATTTTTTAACAAAATATAAATTTAAAAGGGGGGCAAAACGATAAAGAGGATTTTAATTTATTCATTAAAAATTAAGGGTAAGTGGCGGTAACGGGTAAAGGTTTTGTAACTCATATACTTGAAAATTTATATCTATTTGAGACTGTTTTGCTAGTCATACCTCGAAGATAGTATATCAGAACGTGTGCAGTGGAATTAAAAGCACACTTTGTATAAAATCAGTGACTTTGTATGTAAGAGTTAGTTTGTAAGGTTATATTATTTTATACTTTTTATATATGTTATTGTATAGGGTGGTTTAATTTCAAATACGGTTTTTTACAGTGATTTCATTTTAAAGAATCTTTCAATAGAAAAGCAAACCAATGACAACGTCAAACTGGTTAAAAAAATATGAGAACCAGTTACTCAAACTAAAGTAGAAGTGAAAAACTATTTTAAGCTATATTATCGGACACGCCTAGTATATTACTTTTTATGCTTTTTATCATTCAAAGGGACATGGTCTCCATTCGTGCAATCGATTAATTTGTATGTTCAGAGAACTCAACGTTCCTTACTCCAAGTTCTAGTAAATAATCCTGCGGTATTCTGTCTTGCAACTACCATCAACTAGGCTGACTAGTATTATTTGCTCAGTATTTAGCTTCTTATTTGTTACTATTGAACACACCTAATATATTACTTTTTATGCTGTTTATCATTCAAATGGACACGGTCTCTATTAGTGGAATCGATTAATTTGTATGTTCAGGGATCTCAACGTTCCTTATTCCAAGTTATAGTAAATAATCCTGCAGTATTCTTTCTTGCAGCTACCATCAACTAGGCTGACTAGTTAATACTTTGCTGTAATAATAGCATCTTCCTAGAGGAAAGACAAGTGTTTCTCGCTTGTTCCAACTCACCAAAGATCACTAATGTTATTTCCTTGAACAAATTTCTTTTTCTGACATAACTCTCTTCTATAACTTCTGTAACTCAGGACAAGCTGGTTTCCCTGTTTTGGCACAGGTATCATTTCCGAATTTTTATTTGTGCCATTGTATTTTGCTTAATTTTATTTTCTTCGATTATTTGGACGATTAAGCGATGCATGCTTCCCTTCCTATATGATGTATTCATCAAATATGAAATTTCCTTATATTTGATGTTTTACAGTGTCGAATGGCTTGCAATGGTCTATGAAGTTAGATGTATGTAAAGATTTATGCATACACATCTTCTGAATCTAAGTGTTATCTTGTGTGCATCTTGAATCATTGCTTACTTATTTTTTGTCTTGTTTATGTATTCTTGTTTATTGTTCGATTGTGTATGTGTCCATTTTAAGTTTAAACAGAGCAGAAAGATTGAGGAATCTATTACTGATTTTACTTGAAGATTGTTTGGTTCCGAGTTTTCTTTTACATTTTTAGTATTTTTTCGTTTTATCCATTATGCGGGTTTTCTTCCATTTTCTAATTAATTTCCCATATATTTTGTCTTTTTTCCCTCTTTTAATCTCTTCGTCTACCTATTCGTTTCACGTATTCAGTCTGCCTCTTGGTTCTTTACGTGGTGATGTGTAGCTCCTTTTGTTTGGAAGATTTTAGTTCTTCCTCTCTTGTTAGTATTGTGTAGATAATATATTCCCCTGATATAAACAACACCTCCACAAAAATTATTTGAAAACGGTGGTACTACTCAAAAGAAAGGTTTTGCTTTTCTTGTAACATATTTGATTATTTGTGCCAAAGATTTTAGAAAGGTTTTATCCTTTTATTTTTATTATTTTTTACTTGCCAACTCAAGTTTAAGTTCAACGTATTTTTATATAGATTAACACCCTATACTTATATAAAATTGTATACATTCGTTTGTAAATTACTATATTCGACATATAAGTTCATTAAAAATGTCATCTTTATGTTGTTTTTATTGCGTATATGTTGTCTCCTGATATTTGGATTGGAAAATATAGCTAAAGAAAGTGATAGTGAAGACAGGGTAATAAGATTTTTATATAAAATGCTATATGTGTTAGTTTTGCAATGGTTAATCTTATCCTTGGTTTCCTTTTCTCCTTTTCTGTTGGTACCTTATTGTACGGACTGAATGAGTTCTCTTATAACACTGCAACCAATGTGGCAGCTGTAGCTCAGTTACCAGGCTTTCAGAGGGCACGTCAAGCCGTCTTATTATTCTTACTACAGCCAATTACTAACAGTAAGTTCTGCCGAGACTGCCTTAGTGCCAGGCACGACAGTATACACATTGTATTGCTTTCTGTACATACGATGCCAGGTATAAAACATATGAGGACATCAGAGGGGGACTCTGGGTATATATATTCAGTATAGAATACGCTGGTTTCTCACCTTCGAATTGGGTATATATATTACGGAATTCAAAAGCACTAAGCAAGTGCATTCTAGTGAAATCTATTTTGCTGGTGAAATAAAAGAAGAACCTATCGCATATACATTTAATTCAAACTCATCTATGTCTACAAAATTAAAATATGAGACGTGGCCCGTACGACAGCAAATTTTTATTTAAAGTTGAGAATAATTAAAGAGGTGATTATAAAAAGCGACGATTAACTAACAAAATACTCGATGGTTAATATAATAATAAAAATGGTAAAAATCTTACAGTGACAAATAACAATCAATATAACGCACAAGGAATAATGACCCACCCAGACCGTGAATAAATTATATGGATATCAGGTACCTAAAACTTAATAAATGAATAGATGAAAGACGTCAAAAAGACATAAATAACAGTAGAATTTAAGAATACGGTTGCTGATGAACTTAATACAATTATTAATAAAAGCAAATCAAAAATATTGTAACGGTTCAAAAAAATCTGGAAATTTTAATTCACGTATTTCAATGCCCGTCCTGTACAAAGTTTGGATTTGAGTGTTTCAATTATATATTCGAAAGAATGTTTCTATAAACATATCAAAATCTCCTAATGAGAGCATTTTAGGTCTTTTGGTATATAATAAACATTTCAAAATGTTTATTTTACTCAGCACAAATAACGTATATCGGAGATTTTCAATTGAGAACGGAGGGAGAAGCAAACTAATTAGCTCACCGATCAACGTGATCAAATTTGTCGTCTTTAGAATTTTATCTAGCCTCGAAAGAGTTCTAGCCTTTGGCACGGTTGGATGTGCGATTTCGCCACTCAAGATACCGACTAAGTGTTCAGATGAGCCGGTAGTCATGGCATTCTAAAGGCTTTGAGCACTCGGAACCAACAATTTCCACTTAATTATATTAAAAGTTGAGTAAAAAAGTCTTTTTTATATATTTGCCGAAGTATGGCAGTAGATAGAGAAACCTGTCACGTTTTGATTATTGTTGTTGGAAAACAGTCTTCATTCTATTTAAAGAACTGGCATGTCAACAGTAGAAGCAAGTTAAGTTGAACAAAGAATTCGCAGCCATTGAGAGAACTTTATATTAAATTTTCTATAAAGATATAAGTAAGACGGTAATAATTCAGATTGTACGATCGTAAATAATATGTCCAAATTAAATCTCTGTTTTGATTGAAAAAAATATGGCGTGCACGTTATAATTTTGTATTGTTTTTAATTTCTTCAACAATCTTCTTTTCTCTTGGACGACGAATAAATATTTGCTAACATGTTTGCCAAGCGAACATACAAGGTAAGTGTGATTAATGCTGTATTTGTCTATATATGTATTTTGGTTATTGTTTATTTTATTTGCTCATATACGTATTTTGGATTTAAGATTTGTTTGTCCCTCACAAAAAAACAATGTGGCGCCTTTTTTGGCAAATTTTTTAAACTTATTTTCAGTCCATTTTAGCAGATTATTTATGATAATTAGCTAAAGAATTTAAAAGTTTTTTAGCTAATAAGAATGTTTCAAAGAACCACGCCAACATCTCTTCCTATTCTGAACAACGCGACCTTGTTCATTTCGTGTGTCTCAAACATCACCAACGTTTGTACTGCTACACTAATTTTTGCGCCACACGTTGGGCGCCAAATTAGTGTAGCAGAATAAACGTTGGGGCACACAAAATGAAAGAGGCCGCGTTGTTCAGAATCAAAAGAAAAGTGGGTGTAGTTTTTTGGGTCATTCTTACTAGCTCAGAAAAATTAAAAGAAGAAATATTAGGGAGGTGATACCTACTAGAGCTTAACCAGGAATATGGGATAAACAAAGAAAAAGCATAAAAAAATGGCCAAAAAAAGATTTTCTTGTGAGGAACAACGAAACCTCAAAACAAAATACATATATAAACAAATAACAGCAACCAATGACCAAAATACATAGATGGACAAATAAATGGTATTAATTACACTTACCTAGTATATTCGCTTAGCAAACATGTTACAAATATTTATTCGTGGTAAAAGAGAAAAATGATTGTTAGATAAATTTAAAGCAGTACAAGATTGTAACGTACATATTAATCAAAACATAGATTTAATTCGACATAAATTTGCTTCTTAACAACAGAAATGTCCCTCACAAATTAATTCCGTCTTATTTACATCTTTATAGAAAGTTGAATATAAATTTATCCCAATAACCTGGTAAACATATTTAAAAATGATCTTTATTGAAAAAATTTAAATTTACCACAGCCATGAATATACCATGATGTCTTTTTTTACTTCTTAATCTACGTACAAAATTTAGACTTGTGAAAAATAGTGATCGAAGCAAAAGAAAATACGGAAGTACCCCTTTAAACCTGGGTGCATAATATGTTTAAGAAAAATATAAATGACACATGCGTTTTTCTCATGTACAGATTGCCATCATTGAAATATTCAACATAGCTATTTAACCTGCATTTGCAGGATACAAAAAGATTAGCTAAAAACTTACTGACTAGGAATTATTTGTTTTACTTAACTTGCTTCCACTGCAAACCTGCTGTTTCTTGAAATAGAATAAAGACTGTTTTCCAATAATAACCAAACCATAGCCCAGGTTTCTCGGAAATTAAAAAAAAAACAATTTATTTGTTGCCATACTTCTGCAAGTAAACGAAGAAGAAATTTTTACTCAAATTTTAATACACTTAACTGGAAATTTTTGCTTCTAATAGCTCAAAGACCTTGCAAACTTGCGACAACTAATTGCATAATAATATAACGATTTTACATAAGTAAATCTACTCGTGTATTAGCAAGGATATAATGTATATGACTTGTACGTTACCACATGGAGCGGCTTCTGGCGCAAGGAATTGCGAACACCCTACGTGGGTGATTTTTATTAACCAACTAATTATCTTTTAAATCTTATGATTTATTTAAGGCCCAGATTAACGGTTTTGTTGTTTCTTTTATATTTTAAAATAAAAGCAGATGTATTTTTTTATTTTTACTGTCCTGCATTACGTGTCATATACATGTACTTTATCAACCACATAAAGATGACTCTTTTGTTTTTCGTTTATTTTATGTTTAGTTTGGGATAATATTTAGTTCAAACTACGTATGCCTGTTGTGGGCAGCTTAGAGTTAACATATCAGTTGCGTCGAATGTTGACTGTAGAAAAGTTAATTTATTTTAAATACAGAGCGACCGTAGAACATCTTTAACTTTTGAACACAGAAAAAACTGTCATGGGTAATGATACTACAAAAAGAAACGGGTTAATAATTGAAAATTTGAGGAAGTTTCATTTAAGATTATTATATATATGACGCACGACAAGAAGTACTAGTGAATAGAGTCCCTTCTGATTAGGAATTTATTGCCTGACAATTTTTCAGATGTCACGTTTTCTTCTATGAAATTTATCACAGATTTGGAATTGTGACATTAGATATGTTAAACCGTTAGAAGAATTCATCATACCTTACCTTTAAGAAAAACTAAGCCTCTTGTACCTACTGTAGAAACTGCATTAATCCGTAAAACCTAAAACTTACATCGATTTGACTATTCGTACATTTGATCAGCTCGTGTAGTGATTATGTTTTGACGGTTTCATGGCTCGTTTAGCTAATAGGCGGTTTTCACTATGTGCAGATTATTAAGTCCAGGTTCTAACCCGGGCTCAGTCAACAATTGTAATTTCCGAGGTAATTGTTATAAAATTCTTAGTAGATATACGAGTTGTTGATCTAATAAGCAAGCGATTGGGAAACTGTATGTATCAAAAGTAGCTCCAATGTTTTAATGATTTAATTAGTATTTTCTCGAACTTGATAGTATACTGCTGCTTGTTCTCCTTCTCAATGCACACTACCTTCATCTACAGTATATTGAACCCACATTGTACATTGTTGTAGATCATGACTTCATACAAATATTTTCATAAATATTTCTATTTTCAAAAGTTAAAAGTTTAACGTGCTTTTAGTTCATTCCGTAGTTTGCTAACTATAAACAGAACGTTATGTTTATTACAATTACATAGTTCGTTAGTTTGAGTTAATCTAATATGCTACTTTGTGATTAGGCACTTATGATGAGTTAAACAATTTTAGATGTTTCAAAATACATAATAAATGTACAATAGCATAATATGTTTTCATTTTCGAATAGAGAATCTTTAAAAATTACACAGGCCGACAAAATTTTAATAATATTCGGACCCAGAGATCAGAATATACTTTTCAGGTTTTTTGTGCGCTGAATTCGAATCTGAGCTCCAAATTGGCTCTGGTTCTAAGATATCCTAACCTAAAAATGCAAATATAGCTGTTTTTGAGGTTACATGTCATCGTGATATAACTTTCCTCCTAAAAACTGTTATAACCATAGACATATAATACCTAGACTCAGCGCTCCACTATAGACCCTTTCCTCCAGTAAAACAGAAAAAGCAGTGCCTGCATCTAGCTAATAAAATACGAATTTTCGAAAAAAAATTGTTAATTTGTGACCAATTTGATGTAAAATTAA